GTGATAGGGAATGGCAAAGGACACACTGACAAAGGAGATTAATCAGAACTGGCTTTGACAAGCACTGTGGCAATTAAACAATTAAAGCAGACATTCGGGGTGGGGGGAAAGAAGTACGAACTGGGGAGGAGGGCAGAGAAAACAGTGCAACAATGAATGAATGAAAACCCAAAATCTCTGTAAATGTTCATTAAAATGAATAAAATTTAATAATAGGAAAAGGAAAAAATAAAATCAAGGAACTCATGAAATATTATGCAAAATGGGTGACCTGGAAGACATTGTGCTGAGTAAAATATATCAGTCACAAAAGGACAAATATTGCATACGGCCACTGTTGTAAAACAGGGACTGACATTGGGGTTGAGGGAAGACAGAGTAGGAGGGGAGGAAGACAACTGTTTAAAAGGGATATATGATTGGGTATTATTGTCATTATAGGAGTCCAGAATGAAGGCTTCACAGTAGAGTGGACTTGGGGAGTCAGATTTCACAACAATGAAAGAGTTTTTCTTTTACTTTTCAAGAGTGAATTAGGGGGGATGCGGTGGGCAGGGAGAAAAGTGCAACAATGAACAACTGGAAATCCTAAGTCTCTGTAAACTTTAATAAAAATTAATTAAAAAAGAAAAAATCTTAAGTGTATTAAAAGAATTCTCAAAAAAGCAAAAAGATAACCTATAGACTGGGGAAAATATTTGGCAGTGGAATATATCTGACAAGAGACTTACCTCTAAAATTTATAGAAAACTCTAATATCATAACCAGAAAGTGGCATGCAATGCAATTACAAAATGGTAAAAGAAATGAAAAGACACTTCACTACAAAAGTCATTTAGATAGCCAACAAACACATAAAGGAAAACTATGAGAGAGATGGAAATCAAACAGTGAGACATCATCTCACCTTAGCAAAAGTTCAGTAAAGCAATAAATGAATGCTGGGAAGGTTGCAGAGACATTAGAACTCCCATATACTATTTCAACCACTAAGGAATGCAGCTTGGCACTTCTCTAAAAAAACTGGAGATAGAAATACTATTTGATTCAGAAAATTAAATACTAGGTATATATTCCAAAGAAATAAGGACAACTGTGCATACAGATGCATGTACATCCATCTTTTCTGCAGCATTATTTACAATAGCAAAAAGAGAAAAATAATCTAAGTGTCTAAGGACGGAAAATGGACAAAGAAACTATGATATATTCACACAAGGGAGTACTATACAACCCTGAAAAACAATAAAGAACTTGATAAATACTCTAAACATGACGGCCTAGTGGTAAGAATCTGTACTGCCCATTCAAAGGCACACATGGTTTGGATCCACCAGGTGTTCCACAGAAGAAAAATGGGAAAATTCTTCCAGTGCCATTTACAGCCTCTGAAAACCCACTGAAGGGTCAGTTGTGAATTGATTCTCACTCAGTAACAATAACATTATAACACGAATGCATCTACAGAAAACTTTGCATAATCAGTCACAAAAGGACAAAAATTGTATGCTGTTGTTGTTGTTGTGTATCACTGAGTCAGAATCAACTCCAGTGGGTTTTCAGAGGCAGTAAATTGCACAAGAGGAGACTGCTCCTCTTTCTCCGACTGAGTAGCTGCTGAATTCTACCCTTGTGCCTTTGGGATGACAATGAAGCTCCTTGCCACTAGACCACCAGAGCTCACTCAAACATCAGATAAGGCCACTATTATAAAAAGTGAAATGAAAGTTAATATACTGCAGGGGAAAGGCATTGTTGAATGGCTACGAGGGATGAGAAGAGATGGAGAGGGCAGTAAAATTTAGAAATGGATAAAAGACACATTAAGATTGGTAAAGAGAAAAGCAAATACATTAAGGGGTGATCAGCACAATATCGCTGAAGAAAAGTAAGAGAGGTATGGAGAGATTAGTGGAAATAAGAAGTATAGAGAGGAAACGAGAAAAGGTAATGACATTATGGACTTTAAAACCAACATTATAAAATAAAATGTATAAGAATGGTCAAATGGAAAAATTAATAAACTTCATAAAATTTCATTCAGAAAACAATTTTAAAAACTGGTAAATGTGTATGAGCGTCCAAGGGGGTAAGTTGAGGGAGCAGGGGGGCTGAGGGTAGGCAGGGAGGAAATCACAGGGTCACATATTTGGTGGGTGAAGGGATTGGGGTGAAGGAAATGGGAAAGATACAATGAAGCCCTGAGAAGACGGTGTAATGGTGGGCATAGATCAATGGTGATTAAATTTATAAAACACAATGTATGGGAATAATTGTATAAAACACAACACGAATGAAGGAGATTGTGGAACATAATGTATATGAATTGTGTACTCAAACCAATAAAAAATTTAAAATGGTTTTAAAAATTAAATAAATGTTAAAAGCTTGACTATTTCACCTTTTTTACTATTTCCTCCAACCTAGCAGTACTTCTAGCAAATTTCTAATTTATTTTCCAATTTCTGTTTACATTTCTTTTATAAAAACCTAGAAATATACATCCTTTTTACACATGTACCCTCCACTCCCAGAACACAACCCAGGAATGAATTAGGGACCAAACAAAAGGCTAATCTGGGATCCACATCACTATGTTCTCAGCAAAAGCACCCTTGGGCAGCATTATTAATAGGCCCAGCTGTGCTGAATAGCCCAAAGCCAAAGCCTGCAGGAGGGGAGCACTTTTGAAAAAGAGGAGGGGAACTCCAATAAAAACAAAATACAGTTGCCATGGAGTCAGCAGTCTCCATGTGTCAGAGTAGAACTGTGTTCCTAGGCTGCCAAGGGCTGTTTTTCCAAAGTAGTTCACCAAGCCTTTCTTCTGAGGTGCTTTCTGAGTAGACTCAAGCTGTTAACTTTTCAGTTAGCAGCCCAGCATGCTAGCATTTGCACAACTCAAGGACTCAGTGGAAAGGAAAACACAGTGCATATGGTCATGAGTCTGTGCCTGAAAAACAATTTAGTTTTTCTATGGAATTCAGAACAATATATATATATATTCTTAAATAAAGAAAAATGATTACAATGTTTAACAAAAAAAGGGAGAGCTGGTCATGGCATTGTCAGTAGGGAGTTGTACTTGTAATTCAAAAGTGGTGTGTCTCTGGTAGTTCAAATCCGCCAGCTGCCTTGAGGAACAAGGATGGGCAGTTTTCTCCACACGATCTGCAGCTTTCGAAAGCCTCCAGGAGCCATGAGCTGCCTTGAGGAACAAGGATGGGCAGTTTTCTCCACACGATCTGCAGCTTTTGAAAGCCTCCAGGAGCCATGAGTCAGTTTCAATTCAATGGCACAGGATAACAACAGTGCATAGATTATATTCTAAATAAAATTTTTTTATTTACTATTGCTTAAAATATAAATCCCATTTATAAATATTAGAAAATATTACTTTCTTCCAAAGATCTCTTCCCACAGCTTCAGAAAAACACTTTTTCCCTAGACCTAGATGTGCAGAACACGTATGAAGTAATTATGAGTTCTACTTTTTTTAAAATATACTAAAAAATATTTAAGGCATGTTTCAAAAAAAATGAAAAGAGAATGAATTTAAATATCATCTCCCTCAGTCCCCCAGGGCTGACAAACTCAAAGGCGTTTTAGTAATTTTCCTGTTTCTCTAGAGCAAATGCTTAATAGTTTTCTAAAGATTGGACGGCTTCAGCAGTCTGAAATACTTTTGCTACACTACTATATATAGGAGAATGGAATACATGCTTTAAAAATTCTTCCCAGCCTAAAGTTTCCATCACCCCAAAATTCTATACTATTGCTAAATTCTTCCTTCCACTGGAATGAAAGAAACTCAAAATTAGTAACTCTTGAACTTTGTGAGATTGCTAATTAGAGTGGGGAAAGGAAACAAGAAAAGAAAAACAGTAACTTACAAGTCAGATGTTACTTGATCTTGGAATGAATCTGCTGGGATCCAGTTTGAGCCTTTCAGAAATATGGGAATTCCATTAATTTTGAAGTAGAAACTTAGGCCATAAGACCCTTGTATAGGTTCCTCAATAAGTTCCACAGTCCTGAAATAAACCTGTTAGGAACAGAAAGAAATACTGAATATCAGATGAAAACATGAGTGAAGAAGAAAAAAAAGAACAGCAACCTTTCTGAAAATCTTTTAAGAACACAGTTTACTGTTAATTTGTCTATTTGCTATGAAGCGCTATTAATGCAAAAGCGCACATCTTAGAAAAAAAGGTATAAATACAAATTATTGCTGGAGCTTTCTATTTGCTTAAGGGGAAAGAATAGAAAATAACAAAGTGAAATATATTGTAATCTTCCTCATAAAGTAGGCATTTATATTTATTTCAAAATAGAGGTGAAGATAACGTTGAAATTAAACTTATTATTTCACAAAAAAAATTGTTTTAAATGCCGCCAATTAATCTAATACACTTTTGACTGTCATTTCAGAGTTGTTAAAATATGCATCTTAAAATCAGAAATACACGTTGGTTGTTGGTTATCGTGCGCCTTCCATTTGGGACTGACTCGTAGCTGATCCTCCAGTGGGTCTTCAGAGGCTATAAATTGCACAGAAGGAGACTTCACCTTTCTCTCATTGAGTAGCTGATGGATTCAAATCAAGCAGTAAAGAGTTGGTGGCACAACTCCTTACCACTTGGCCACCAGAACTCCTTTCTGAGAAATATAGCACAAGACAATTAATAATTAAATGACTCTCAATTTTACTATATTATTACAAAACACTGTTAATGGCTAATATAATCCTAACTAATTAACACATTAAACTTGATGTTGGGAATTCACGAGTTGATGTATGCTGTGTCTGCATTAGAAGAAGATGGGATGAGAGCACACACTCCCATGTCATCATAGATACAGGAGAAGAAGCTGAGACTTGTACACCTGTGACCTGAGACCTGGTGACCATGGGGATCAGATTCCCTACAGATGACCTGAGTAGAGATGTCCTGACCATCTTATCAAAATCTCCATTCTTCTCAACCAATAACTAGATCAAAAAACAAGGGATAGGGTCCGATGTCAATAAAACCTAGCATTGACCAAAGATGGCATACTTCTCTAAAAATAGATGAAAGAATTAATCTTGTTATGTCCATGAACTAAGTGCCCACTCATTCTTCCACTTTCTTACACATCCCTTTATTTATATGAGAAGATATCCAGGCTGACATCATGAGAAGTCACAGAATAAGGACTGGAGGATCAAGAAATTGTCACATCACCTTAAAGTTGCCAAATGCAGAGTGACTTTCAGAAGTGCATTTTAAAACACAGGAACAGTAATTCAAACTCCTGGAACAGCAACTATGCCTAAAGCATAGTGAGGGCAGACCAAGGAATCATTCAGCCTCTCCACTGCAATGGTGGAGTAAAGGGATGTCAACACTTTGGCAATTAATCAAGTGGGTACTCAGTTTCTTCTAGTTATCAGATAGACCATTAGGTAAGGAAGAGGTGGGCTTTCAGACATTTGCTGGGTTCTCAGTATTTCCAACAGGCTTTTTCATGGCTTTGATCAGTCCTGCTATAATCTTTGTAACCTCATTATTGTTCTATAAATCCTTATTGTGAATATCAAAGTTTCCCTTGCAACCAACACAGGAACACAAAAGAAATAAGTACCTTTTGTTAACTTATTCCACAGTAATATTTTTAAATTTTCAAGCTAAATTTTAACATTTTAAATTTAATTTTATTCATTTGTTGTTGTTGAAAATATGAGTGCAAAGCATACACTCAATATACATTTTAGTGTGAAAAACAATGTACACAAACTTTGTAAGTAAACCAGTATAAAAGAACAAGTTTATATTTAAAAAAAGAATAAAAGTAAAGATATATTACAAAAGTCATTTATCCTTTTATTGTTGTTGTTGGAAGTATCTAGCACAAAGTATATACTCATTTGACAATTTGTCCATGACTTTGATTGCATTCTTCAGGTTGTGCAAACATTTGTACTCTCCTTTTCTGAACTGTTCCCCTACTAACAACATAAACTCACTGCTCCTTAGATTTTGTCTATTTCTTTCTTTCCTATTTTTTAAGTCGCTATCGTCAGTTTGATCCCACATAGGTAATTCTTAGAAAAGCACATTGCTCAAGGAAGATCCCAAATTTTCATTTTGATTGAAGCATTTTAAATTTAATATTGTATCTCATTTTAAAAAGTAGACTGCTTATAAAACAATTTTTCCTAACTTAAGGATGAATCACTGGCTTACAAAAGGGAATTTTCATTCTCGGCCTACAGCTGCACTGTCTTACCTACATCAGAAATGCTAGGGGAGAAAAATGAAACTGGCATATCTGAGTCTCATGACACAAAGAAGAGAATCTACTCCAAAGAGGTTGGATGAAATACTAAATAAGAATACTAAATAAGATAAAATTAATCTTTTCCTCACCTTTATATTATTTATTAGTATTAATAATTTACTTCATTGTGTCTTAGGCACCAGAATGACTGTGAAAAATATTTACGGTTCAAGTTAATTTGTGGTATCACTCCAAGACAAAACTATACTCAGAAAGCAAAAGGAATTGAATCTTTGAAACACAGGCATGACGAGCTTTTCTAAAGTCAAATATTGTTTGTTACGTCTTTTCCAACACCAGAGACTGAAAAAGCCCCTGGCGTACCTTACAAGGACAGTCACCATCCTGGATTGGTGGGAAGAATGCACACATTAGCCGAGTGACAGTTGCACAGCTGATGCTGCAGAATGCCTCCTGAATGGGAAGTCAGTGAAGGAAATCACAGCACTGCCATTTTCCTGTTAAAGATCTAGCTGCAACATGTAGACTGGGTTGATAGCTCATCTGAAGGACACATCATCCTTTTGTCTGTGCAGAAGTTGATAGACTTGTTTTGCTTGTGTTTGCCCACTCTCCGCACGAGCAATCATTAAAGAGAATCTTTTCTGTAAATGCTTGGCAATAAAATACTGAAATATTCAAAATATTATATAACTTCTATGGATCTCAAGGTCATGCTGCAACAACTGTGCTAACATTTGCAGTGATGTGGCAGATACAATGTCTCCCTTAGCAGGAATCAAGGCAGCCACTGTCCCTGTGTTACTAGGGCTCATCCCTCCTACTTTCATGCATTGGTGGGGAAAAAGTCTGTGCAATTTAAGAATGTCCTTGGTAAAGTAGTAAAAAGGTAATAATTTTATTAAAATTCAACCTTGGAGTACACACCACTTTAGTACTCTGTGTGATGAAACTGGAAATAACGCTGAAAGCACCATGAATCATGGTTGTCTTAAAGAACAACATCTGTGCCACAACTGAGCTGTAAGTTAAATGAACCACCTTTCTCATGAAATGCCACTTTTACTTAAAAGAAGAATGGACAGACACACTGTGATTCTTTCAATATAGGTATCTGGCAGATATTTCCTAGAAAGAAAGTTAAATAAACTGGTTACTTTAAGGAAAACAACTAAGGGTTTCTGTGATCAAGGACAATATTCAAGCTTACCAGCAAAAATTAGGATTTAGGAAAATGTGCATCACCACTGTAAGACTGGGAACTTCCCAATACTTAAAGGGAACTTTCAAAGGAGAACAAATTCAAACTTCCTGCCATTGAGGGGAACCAACTCATAGCTTGCACTCCAGAGTGTTTTCAGAGACTGCAAATCACATAGGAAGTGACAGTATGTCTTTCTGGTACATTCAAATTGCCAGAGACACCTTTGTGTGCGCAGTGCAAATCCCTACCGATTGTGCCACTAGGGGGGTATGTTATCAAATGCGGCATTGTAGATTGACATCTCAACATATGAAAGAACAATAATTCTCAGTAAAGCCAAATTTTCTAAAATGCCAATGCATTATTTTTGTTGTTGTTGTTATGTGCCGTCAAGTCGCTTGCGACCCTATGTACAACAGCTCTAAACTCTGTCCTGTGGCAATATCATTGCCTCCGACACACCCATCCCGATTGCCCCAGTCACCAAATCAATCCATCTCCCAGAGGGCCTTCCCCTCCTACACCTGCCCTCCACTCTCCCAAGCATGATGTCCTTCTCCAAGGACCGGTCTCTCCTTACAACATGACCAAAGTATGTCAGGGGAAGCCTCAGAATCCTTGCCTCCAAGGAGCAGCCAGTTTAACCCTCTCCAGGATGAATCTGTTTGTTCTCTTAGCAGTCCATGGCACCTTCAGCACTCTTCTCCAACACCAAACCTCAAAAGCATCAATTCTCCTTCTATCTTCCTTGGTCATTGTCCAGCTCTCTGATGCGTAACAAGTGACTGCAAAGACCACAGCCTGTACCAGACGCACCTTTGTCTCCAGAGACACACCGCTGCTTTTGAGTACTTTAGAGAGGTCCCTAACAGCAAACTTTTCCATCACAATACGTCTTTTCATTTCCTGGCTGCTGGTGCCAAGAGTGTTGATTGTGGAGCCAAACAAACTAAAGCTTGTGAACAATCTCAATCTCTTCACCACACATCCTGATGCTGTCAATTGGTCCAGTGGTGAGAATCTTTGTCTTCTTGACATTGAGCCTCAATCTATATTGAAGGCTGCAGTCCCTGACCCTCAGCAGCAAGTGCTTCAGGTCCTCCTCAGTTTCAGCAAGCAGGGTTGTGTCATCTGCATAACACAGATTGTTTATGGATCTTCCACCAATCCTGATGCCACATTTCTCCTCATAGAGCCCAGCCTCCCAGATGATCTGTTCTGCATACAGGTTGAAAAGGTATGGAGACAGAACACATCCCTGGCGCACGCCCTTCCCAATTTTGAACCATGCAGTGTTTCCTTGCTCTGTTCTGACAACAAGTAAAAGTTTCTCATTAGCATGATCAAGTGTTCTGGGATTCCCATTCTTCTCAGAGTCAGCCACAGTTTGTTATGATCCACACAGTCAAATGCCTTTGCATAATCAATGAAGCACAGACAGACATTCCTCTGGTACTCCCTGCTTTCAGCCAAGATCCATCTAACATCAGCTACAATATCCCTAGTACCACAACTCCTTCTAAACCCAGCCTGGACTTCTGGCAGTTCTCTGCTGA